TCAAAGATGAGATGGCTGAGTGTGTCTGGAGTTGTTTCTGCATCTTCTCATCTGTTCCACTGGTCCTCAGGTCTGTTTCTTTGCCAGTACCATGCAGTTTTTATCACAGTAGTTTTGTAATGTAGTTTCAAGTTGGGGATTGTGATATCCCCTGAAAAATTGCCATCCTTTCCAAAATTGTGGAACAAGTTCGGGGATTTAGCTCAGTGGTTCTGCTGCCTGCCTTGCAAGCACAAGGACCCAAGTTCGATCCCTGGTACCAAAAAAAAAGTATACCCAAAATTGTCGAACAAATTAAGTTCGTGAACAAGGTAGCACTGTAATCTTATTTAACCATTACAAATACTTAATATCTAAGACATAGACAACCACTTATGTATTGCTATTGGTAATGATGTATTTTGGGTACAGATATAGAGATATATAAAATATGATTTATAATGTAGATTTTTCAAACTTACATTATGAGATGTTTCTGATACTCTTGTATAGTTGTTGAAAGCACAAGTTGTGATAGTTGACATCTCTTGGTTACAGACTGCCAACTTCTCATTATTTCCTCACATAACAGAAAGAAGAATACCAATTATAAGGACACTAATCCCATTTGTGATGGCTCCATTCTCATCACCTAATTTTTTTCCAAAAGTATCACCTCCTAATATCGTCACATTGGGGGCTAGAATTTCAGCATATGAATTTTCAAGGAACACAAACAGTCTATTGCAATATTCTTAGTCTATTCTTCTAGCCACCAATTTATCTAGGATCATGGTTCACAGCCCACCTTCATTCAAGTGGCACATGTGATGAACTCTCATTAAGAACAGTATATGTTACCATTACAGTATTACAAAAGTGGGTTAGAAGAAGGTGTTTATTCTCCAACATGGAGGGCTTCTCTCGTCTGTTGACTAGTTATCACCGATCAGATTTTCTTTAAATTCATGTGTTGAGGATTGGAGCAACCTCTATCAAACTAGGCTTATGAATAATTGCACAGAGAAGAGCATCAACCCACCTTCCCCTCCTGTTAGCTAGATTTTACACAGTGTGAAAGAAAGTTTTATGGGATTAAGCCACTGAGATAAGAGGCTTACTTGATAAATATATTAGTGTTACTTTAATGTAGAAGTTAGCATGTATTTGGACTGGGGAGTTAGCTCAGTGGTGCCACCACCTGCCTTGCAAGTGCAAGGTCCTGAGTTCAATACCCAGTACCAAAAAAAAAAAAAAAAAAAAGGAAAAAACCTAACTTACCTTATTTCTTTTCCCTTTCTACATCTACTTCTGTAAAGCCTATTCAGCACTCATTATGAGGCTTAATTAAAATAAGCTCATAACAAATCAGCAGTAGATAATACAACAGCACAAATGTTCCTCAGGGGCATAAAGGAATTTTCATGCCACTCCCACCATACTTACCCTCAAATCTTTATACAGCTGTGCTCAGCAAGGGCTGTGGAATGCAGGCAATCCAAGGAGACATTTAAGGAGACATAGGAATGAGCAGGAATGAGAAAGGAGAAAAATGTATTTATCACCCCACAAGTAATTGTACATAGTTGACAAAAAATAACTAAGGGCAAACAAGTGAAAGAGAGTCTGTAACCAAGTTAGCAGCACTGGAGCTCTGATATTTCTTCTTATTATAAATGATGCTATAGTAAATATCTTCATCCATCCCCTATTGTGTTACTGAAACAACTATTTTTGATCATTTTTATTTTTATTTTTTTATTTATGTATCAGGGATCGAACTCAGGACCTTGTGCTTTTGAGGCAGATGTGGTGCCACTGACCTAAACCCCTGGCCATTTTTGATCATTTTTTTCCATTAAGTTTATTGGTACATTTTAGGTATAAAATACAGTTACGTTCATCATTGGGATCTTGTACCTTTACATGAGTATCTTGGTTCTTATTTTTTTCCCATTTCCTTGCCCTCCCTTCACCGCTTCCACCCTTCCCCATTCACAAAGATTTTATTTGCATTTTTTTCCTTTTCTCATATTCATTCTTTTCCCTTCTTTACTTTCCCCTACCCCTCCCACTTCCCCTACTCCTTTAGACCTTTTCATCCTATTACACAATATCAACTATACATTTTTTTTTAAAACTATAATATCAAGATTTAGAGGACATTACCACAGATTTTACAGAATTTAAAAGGATATAGAAAGCATTTTTTTAAAAATCTTTTTTGAAATAAATTTGACAACTTCTATGCAGTACCTTGGAAGACAAATTAATGAAACTGACTCTGGAAGAAATATAAAATTTGAATAGCACCTATTAAGGAAAGTATAGTCCTAGCTTGAAAACCTACCTATATGACAACAACAAGCTTATATGTATTTTTTTTTTGTTAGTGGGGATCAAACTCGGGTCCTTGCACTTGCAAGGCAGGCAGTGGAACCACTGAACTAAATCCCTGGCCCTGCTCATATATATTTTAACTGATAAACTATATCAAACATTTAAAGCAGAAAAAAGAAGGAACACGTCTCCCCTCATTTTAGGAAATCAACACTGTGCTAATATTAAAACTGTATAAAGATAATAGAAAAGTATGAACATAAATAAACATTTGTTTAACAAAACAAACTATTTGAAGTCAGATATGGCAGTATGTAGTAAGTGGTTTTATTATAGGGATGGCAGTGTTGGTTCAGGATTGGAAGATCCACCCCCATAGGTCATCATTTTAACAACGGAAAGGAAAAAGCCATGTGATCCTGTCGGCAGTTGGAGAAAAAGTATTGGACTAAATTCTACAGCTGTTCATGGTAAAAGCTATCAGGAGACTAGAAGTAAAACAGAACCTTCTCAACAATAAAAGACATGTACTCCATACTTCCAGCAAAAATACCTTATATGAATGGAAAAGATACAATGCTTTCTCTCTAAGGTAGGGAACAAGGGCAGATATGCCTGCTCTTCAACTGTCCATTAAACTTTGAAACATAGGCCCAAACCAAATTAGTCTGGCAATAAAAATAAACGAATAGCATAGGATTGCCAAAGTAGACATAAAATCTATATGTAGATGAAGTGATCATCTACAGAGAAAATACTAAGAAATCTCTAGGATCCCCTAGAACTTGTATTTGAATTGAGCAGGATTAGAAAACACAAGATATATATAAAAATTCAGGTCTATGTATAGCTGCTATAAATGAAGAATTGGATATTGAAATTTAAAAGTTATGTGGGAATACAAAGGACCTGGAAAAGGAAAAAGAAAAAAATAACAGTGTTGGAAGATACTTATTACCTGATTTTAAGACTTCTTATAAAACTACAGTAATCAGGGAAATGTTGGCATAAGGAAAGACATACAGATCAAAGGAATAAAACAGAGAATCTAGAAATAGAACCACATATATATGGTCCACTGATTTTTGAAAGATTGTTTAACATTAACATTTTATAGAACATAAACTCAACTCAAGAGCAGAGGAAAAGATAAAGTTTTCAACAAACAGTACTAGAACACCTGGTATCATATGTAAAAAATTAACCTCAACCATTTTTTTACATACATAAAAATAACTTGAAAGGATCTATGAACTTAAATATGAAAGCCTAAAAGTATAAAACTTTAAGAAGAAATTATGAGGGAAAATGTTCATGAATTTAGGGTAGGCGAGAATATCCTAGGATACAAAAAACATGATGTATAAAAGAAAAATATTGATGAGATTCCATTAAAATTTAGAATTTTAAAAGACATCATTAAGAAAATGAAAAGTAGTCTTTAACCAGAACATATTTATAATGTGTATAACCTATGACCAGAATATATAAAGAATTCTTACAGCTCATAAATAGACAACCCAATTCAAAAGCAGACACAAGATGATAAATAGCCAGTACAGCACAAGGAAAGGTGTGCAATACTAGAATAAGAAAAATACTAATCACTAAAATAACAAGATTGCATTATACACTCATTAGAGAGATTAAGTTAAAAATTTTAAAAGAACAAATGTCAGCTTAGGTGTGAACAATTTAGAACTTTTTAATACTGATAATGTGAACGTAAAATGATGAAGCCATTTTGGAAAACAATATAGAAATTTCTGGTATTACTGTTAGCAACCAACAGCTCTGTTCTTCAGTTTTTACATAAAAGAAATGAAAGCACATGTTCATAGTAGATTTGTACATACAGGTTGACTGTCCCTTATCTGAAATTCTTGGGACTAGAAGTGTTTCAGATTTTGGTTTGAAATCAACTTGATCTGCAAAGAGGATACCTACTCCTGCTTTTGTTCGGGTTCCTGTTGCATGCAGTATTGTTTTCCACACTTTAACTTTCAGTCTATGAGTTGCTTTTTGAAATTGTGTGTTTCTTTTATGCAGCATATTGGTGGATTTTGCTTGACCCATTCTACCAGTCTATTTCTTTTGACTGGTGAATTGAGAACATTAACATTGATAGTTATAACTGATACATATTGACTTATCATTGTCATCACATTTTTGTTGTTGGATTCTCCTACTTTGCATATAATTGCTTGTTGCGCCCAATGGATTCATTCTGCTGTGCTTCCTGGGGCTGTAATCCTCATTGTCTTTTCCTAGGATGCTGTCTAAAATTTTTTAGAGTGCTGCTTTAGGATTCATGAAGTTCCTAAGGTGCTCTTTGTCATGAAAGTATCTTATTTCTCAATTGTGAAAGAGTTTTGCAGGGTACCTCAATCTGGCTTGGAGGCTGTCTTTCCTTTAGGGCTTGGAATATGTCACTCCAAGCTCTTCTTGCCTTGAGGGTTTGCATTGAGAAGTCTGCTGTGCTTCTGATGGACTTTCATTTGTATGTGATTTGTTTCTTTTCTCTAACTGCTTGTAGAATTTTGTTCTTATGTTGGGTTTCTGGAATCTTTACTATTAAATGCCTATTTGTAGAATTTTTTGATCGTGGCTAGTTGGAGTCTTACATGCCTCACTTATCTGTATATCAAGTTCTTTTCCCCTGCTTGGAAGTTTTTTGCCATTACTTTTGTGAACAGTTTTTTTATGTCATCTGCACTCTCTCCTGTTTCTTCATTGATTCCAATCAGTCCTGTGTTATTCTTCTTTGCATCATCTGGCAGCTGCTGGTTTAATTTCTTGGGGTCTCTTACTATTTTAAAGAAATTTTCCTTTTCCTGGTCACTAATTCCAATCTTATCTTCTATATCTGAAATTCTGTCTTCACATTGGCTCATTCTGCTGCATAGACTTTCAATGGAGTTTTTAATCTCCTGGAAATCTGTTTGCATCTGTTTTATGGCTTCCATTTGTTTCCTATGTTGGCATTCCATTATGTTCCTCAGCTCCTCTAATTTTTTATCTGTGTCCACTCTAGATTTATTCATCATGTCTTGCACTATGGGCACAATCTCTGCTGTTATCTGAGAAAATGTTTCTGATTTAATTTTTTCCAGGTCCTCTTTTGTTGCCAGTTCAGGGAGCCCAGGTGGTTGAATAACAGACTGTTACATCTCATTTCCCTTTGGGGTTGTCTTAGGTGATCTGGAAGTCTTGAGACTTGTTTACATACTTCCCATTTCAACAGATGCAGCCTGCTGTGCCTTTGTTGAGGCAACTTTTTGCTCACTCAGTGGTCTTCAATTCTCAGCAAGCCACAGAACTGCCTTTTCCCTGCTGCTCACCAGAACATTAATTCCTGGGTTCAAAAAGGTGGCCTTCTGGATCCCTGAGTTGACCTGTTGGCTGGGTGGGCTTCTGGCTGGGGCCTGTGCACACTTGGGATGATATCTAGGTGTGCCACTGGCTATGGCCCCTACACAGCTGTTGTCTGGGAGGGCCTTTGGTTGGGGGCTGTGTACCTCAGTTCCTGTTGTGTGTGCAAGCTTCTGGCTAGGGTCTTGTGCACTTACTGATGGTATTGGGGAAAATCTCTGGTTGTTGCTTTTGTGCCTGTGCAGCTCTTTTCAAGGCAGGCCCTTGGCTTTGGCTGGTGTGCCCTAGCCTCTGGGGTTGGGGTGGAGCCCAGGCTGGGATCTGCTTGTAGCCATGCTCCTCTGGTCTGCACTGCTGCTCTCCCAGCTAAGGTGATCTGATGTGCCTTCACTGCAGAGATTTTCTTCACTTTTCCTGTGGGCTTTAATTTTCATCAAGGGGCCTCAGAGAGGCCCTCTTTCTGTTATTCACTTCTACTCTATCTTCTCAAGCTCAGAACAATGTCCTTTAAGACCCCTGCAACAACTCTGTGGTGTGGATCCAGGTAATGGCTTGGCACAGCCAGGGGGTAGTGGTGTTGGCACCCACACAGCTCGCCTCCTCAGTGTTCTGGGGTGGTGGTGGTACAGTTGCCTAGGGGCTCACCTCATTGGCACTCTGGGGTGGTGGTATGGCAGCCCAAGAGGCTCACCTCCTCAGTGCTCTGGGGCCCTTTTTGATCATTTTTAAAATGATCAAATCTGGCAGTAATTCATTTGGCTTCTCTTG